TAATAGTTCTTAATTAAGTGTCCTCAGTTCTTTTTTTTTCTTTTTCAATTTTTCCCAATCAACATTGAGATTGTTGCATGGCATATAGCTTATTTTTATTTTTTCCATGTATTAGATGTTAGTTAGATAGTGGCTAAAGTTAATGATTCAGAATTTAAAGATCTTGGGTTCAATTCTCCATTTTCCCCTCCAGCTTCTTACACCTCACCCCTTCTCTACTTATAAAAAGATTATTTGTAGTAAAAAGCTAGCCGGACAGCAAAATGTACATATTAGAGCTGCTTTTCTTTTAGTTAAAAGAATGGAAAGATTCCTGAACAATATAACCACAGTGAATCATGAGAACTAAATGGCGCCTTGAGTTCGAGTTACTTATTGTGGTAAGCACAAATCTTCCAAATTAACGTTCTTGAAACAGCTTATGTATGTATAACAAAGAAATGGTGCATGGCAATCATCTTTGTTTGAACGAAGTTGTAATCATCTTAATCATGACTGCCGTACATAGGCAATCTGAGTTTGCAATGAAAAGACACTTGTAACTTCGTGATGGTTGAAATCGTCGAAAATTGTACTAGCAAACATCAATCAATACAAGCGAAGCAGGCTGAACCAAGATAATTAGTTCAAGACAAGAGTATGCACCCATATTAATTACTGACAAAAAGCATAAAAGGTATCATCAATTATGTGATTAAAAAAATAGCTTCGTTGGAGGAAGATTGTGCATCCGGCCCGAACGGAGGAGTAATAAGCTGATTAGTTTCAAGTTTCAAGTTGCACATTGTTCTTCTTGTTCCAATAAAACAAAAACAGAGAGACTGTATATAGTGACGGTTCTCTGTGTACATTGCAAAATAACAGATTATGCGTTAGAGATCAAGTAGATTGTTTTGAACCTCAGAATTCTCGAATTTACTTCCTCTCTGTATGAACTTTGGCTTTAGTTCCTTTTTTGGGTACATCAAAGAAGTAGCCAATAAAGTTCTTGTTATCCACCAGTACATGATTTTTTTTTTTAAAAAAGGAAATGTATTCTTTGTATTAACTCATGATGGGATTGTTTAATCATACTCCTATGAAGTGAAGTTAATCGATCCAAGAAATTTTAAGAATTGGCAAAAGGGCTAATGATAGCACAATCACTAGCATGCCTAAGCTAAGTCATGAAGTTTGGTTGTCAAGACCAAACACTAAATTTACATGAGATTTACATGCATATCTATAGAGATATCTAATGGTCATAGCCTAGGCATTTTTAAGATATAAATTCGAACTACTTTAGTAGATCTACTTGTTGCCTGGTACATTCACAAGTGAATAATAAATTAATTGGGTCGTTTGCTCGACCTGCAGTAGTTTTGAAAAAACACGTACTCAAAAAAAAAAAAATGTCCTCGAAAAAATTTTGACAAAAAAAAAATTACTGGGATTGAAATTAAGGATGCTCTTTTTTTTAAAAAAAAAATAATTTCCAGTTCAAAGTTTACATAAGTTAAGAGTCATGGAAAACTCTAAACCGTTGATTGAAGAGTGACACATGACTCCTTACAGCTTAACCCTAGTACTACCCACACCATTGCAAAGAAATTAATGGGCACTTTTTACTTGGCAAATAAGTATTTAAAATTGAGAAAAATGAATATATTGATTTTGGGAGGGGATAACGCCACACCCTATCAATTAATTTAGATAAAAACTCTAAAAGTTAGCATTAAATTTTTAGTGGTTAATAGTATTACTTGCAACATCTTGCAATTCTAAATTTACACTCCAAAATTACTCCAACACTTGGTCTTGTGGCGATTAAATCTCGGAGAAAGTGATATTGTTTAAACAAGGATCAATCAATATAGTGAAAATTCTGGGGATATAGTGGCAAAAGCCAGGCGCTGGTATGCACCTTTAATTGCGTAAACTGCAACTTTCTTGCTCAATTACTTTGATAAGTAATGAGAATTAAGATCGTGGTGATTCAAACGCCATAGTGAAGACGCTTTTTCTTGAACTTGCAACAGAAATGGTCGAGGAGGAGAAATTTGCCAGCAAGTGCATTATCAAATTTTGACGGTATCTCATCAATTAAGTACTGCAGGCTGTCTATTTTGACTTTTGGCACCAAACTTTACTTGAAGAAGAACATGGTCAAATTAATCGGCAAAACATTCTGCACTCGATTTTTGCAGGAAAAAGGAGACCAACATGACTGAATATTTTCTGCCAATTTTTCTTTCTTCTCTTTTTCCTCCCCATTTAAGGATTTCAACAAAAGGAAAACTTATGCGTTATGTTATATTCTATTTAGTCCTTAATCTTTAATTTCACCGTTTATTGTCCCTTCATAGATGTTTTGAGTCAATTGAGTCCTTATTTGTAAATAGTTCACTTCGTTATTACACCCAAATGATCCTAAATATACTTTGACCCAAACTTCTGTTCTGCTATTGAATATTTTCCTTTTCAAAAAAAAAAAATTTATACGACTAAATAATGTATAACAACGCAATGAGCAACGTATAGGTCATCAAATTTTTATCACTATAATGTATTAGTTTTGAGCACTTTCATAAAGTTTAATTTCTCGAGTATTAATTATTTGAAAAAAGTGAAAGGTTCAATCCAATAGTGGTTTTTCATTTTTGACTGTATTGTGGTAGCAAATTAATTAGTGGAATAAACTGAGGACTTAATAGAAATTTTCAAAAGCTTTAGCATTTACTGAATCTTTTGGAATACTTTAGGAGTTTCAAAAGTAAATTTCACAAAATGAAAGAAACTAATGGGGGCCAAGTAAACTATCGGACTTGGGGGGAAAAGCTCCTTTTCTTCCCTCTCATTGAGCTTCAGTCTATGGTCCTGAAAATTGCAAATGTTTCATCATACAAAATGAATGAAACAAGCAAGTGTAACTAGAAGACGACGCTTAAAATTAGTCATAAAATTTCACTCCAAAGTAAAAGAAGAAGAAGAAGAAGAATCAGAAAATGGTAACTCAAGAAAAAGAAAAAGTTAAAATCCAAATGAAACAAGCTAATGCACCATTAAAGTTTCAGAGGCTTTCACCAGATGTAATCTTATTTACTCATAAGTTCATGCTACATAGTAGTAGCTCATACATAGATTTTGTAGCGTACATATTCCCATGGGAAATCTACTTATTTCTGGACATCATTTTCGGCCTTCTGAAAGCTTTTAAAATTCAACTTCAAACCCTGAAAAATACGAAGAAAGTTGGAAATCAATTAGTACTTCAAGTCTAAGCAATTCCGCTAGATGAAGCAAAAATTTTTGTCAAGACATAATAGGCTTACTGGTGATATTCAATGTTAACTTTTCCAGCATTTGGATCAGCAATGATAGCAAACGCTTCTTGGGAGAGATCAATTGTTCCTCTACAGCCGGGTGGACAGTAATCAACTATTTTAACCACAACACTGCCCCTGCATGGTTGAAGGACACCTAGGTTTGTACGTCCAGTGCATGTCACTCTGTAGTTTCTCCCACAGGCAGCCCTATTGCCCCAGATTGCATCACTTGCAGCTGCAATCATCACCCCATTGTTTTGGAAGCCATAACAAGAAGAGGCTGGTTTACAAGGCAACAAAAGTACAACATTTGTGAGAAGAGAAGGTCGTAATACTTTTGTCTGGCTGATATCACATGTTGCACTTTAAATTATACTGGTGATAGTACTAAAGAACGAAAATGCAGAGAGATTAAAGAAAACGATAAAATAACTAGGAATCATGCAAGACGTATACAAATATATTTTAACTAGTTATCTCTCGAATTAAATGACAGATTTGCAAAATCTTGTGCAGTGCATGATAGTACTGAAGAGAAACTTACGAACATAAGGTGGTGTATAGAAAGTTGCAGTCCCCGTAGCTGCATAGGAAACAGAAACAAGGCTTGCCGCCATGGCAATCATCATCAGAACTCGCATTGTGGCTCCCATTCTTTTTTTTTTTTTTTTTGGCTCTCTCCTAAAGGATTTAAACTCTTCAAGGTTTCGCTTTGAGTTTGAACTTTCTTCAAGAGCTTGCTTGATGAGAAAACTGGGCAATGCCTCTGCCTTTTATAGGCGAAATGTTGAAGACATGGGATGTTGCCCATGTTTATGAGGACCTCAACCGAATAAATTCATTATTCAAGCCCCGCCAGGTTTTACTTTTCTTGATTCAAATCGTATTACTTGGTATAAACAATGAATTTTTGCTTTGATGGTCGGCGATAATTTATCTCCTGTAGCCGTAGGAATAGGGTCAATTTGTTGGCAAACAAAACTAAATCAATTAAGTTTAGAAATTATTAGTGAAAAAAAAAGGTTAGAACTTACAATCACTAGTTGGATTTTTTTCCCTTATTATAGTCAAAGTGTAAGAGTCTTTTTTATTTTAATGTAAGTGAAAGGATTTAAATCCGAATCTCTCATTTACAATCTCGTCCTCAATTCACCCAACTATCCATCTCCTAAACTGTAATAGTATGCTTACCTGCATAGTTGTCCGTTATAGTAGTTACTCTGGCTCCCGAGAACTTTCTTTTGCAGTTTACACAGAGAAGGTTTCAATTTTTTCTTACTAATTATACTGAGATTATACCTCTTTCAATATACTTTGGAGTTAAAAATGTTCTCTCTAATATGATTTATCATTCAAGAATTAGTGTCAAAGCTCAGAATTTGAGCTCCCCACGATTATAATTACTTTCGCCCTAACTTTGACCGTGTCCCATTATTTTTCCTTCTTGTCTTCCATTCTGGATAGCGGAGAGAGATATTGTGGTAGAATTTTCTCCTGTCGAAGCATTTTCTGAGACGAAAAAATGACCAGACAATTTTTCCTGTGCCGTGACGCAAGGGGTATGGTACACTTTAAATAGAGGGCAAATTATCCAAATGACCCTTTAACTCTTTGTCTAAGTAAAATTAAGTCCCTCATCTATTTTTTGACGACTTTAAACCCTTGAACTTGTAAAAGTGGGAAATCGTGGCCCTTTTACCCAGTTTCTCCGGTTTTGCAACCGGAGGACCAATTCACACGAATACAAGTGTGCTTCTTCAAAGGGCATTTTTGTCCGCATGTTCTAAACAAAAAGGGCAGTGGATAAGACGCAGAAACCCTCTCCTCCACCTTCTTGCAATACGAATCGGGCACAATCTTAACAATGCCCTCGTCACCAAAATCTCCACGAATCGCGGAGCCCAGCTCTTCTTTCACGGCTCGAGAAACAGCGGCGTCGACGGATTCCCCGGGCTTCATTTTCTCAGACAGAGGCCTGCAGCGGTGGCGAATGACGCCGTTGGACAATTCTTGGTGGGATTCGAGGAGGACTCGATTATGTTTGTCGATAACCCTGACAACGACGACTTGGAGGGATCGAATGGGAGGAGAGGAATCGGCGAGCAAGGTTTCGCCCTCGGAGAGCTTGAGCCAGAGATTGTGGACGTTTTTGGTGCCGGGCTTGACACCCCAGGAAGCGAAGGAGTCGGAAGGCAAGCGGGGCTTGAGCCAATCGGAGAGGGATTGAGGGGTAGGGAAGCTGGGGTTGCTGGGGGATTTGGAAGAAGGGAGGGACATGTCGGGGATTCTGAGAAACCTGCGAGGGTTGAGCGGGAAAGAGATTTTGGGGAGGGGGATGAAAGCGGTGGTGGGGGATTTGGGAGAAGAGACGAGAAGGAAGAGGGAGAAGGCGGTGAAGATGAAGTCTGGGAGTGAAGTGATGGGTTTTTTGGGGAGATGATGAGGAGATTGGGGTTGAAGGTGGTGCGGCTGAGGTAAAGATGGTGGTGGTGGTGACTGATGTGAAGACATGTGAATGAATTTTTCAATTCCGGCGGGAGAGAAGACGAGTCGACGGAAGACATGTTTGGCTTCTCTTTTTGTTTTCTCTTTTCTTCGTTTCTCAAGACGAAAGGATATTTGAGGATGATTTCAGAGAGTCGACTGTGGTCAATAGAAGTTCAGAAATGCTGGGGAGCATTATCACCGTTCAACTTCCTTCAACTTGACAGTGAAGAGTTTACTAGTCTGTTGTCTGATAGCTGGAATTTACAGGAGTTGTGCCTTTTTGTTTAGAACATGCGGACAAAAATACCCTTTGAAGAAGCACACTTATATTCGTGTGAATTGGTTCTCCGGTTGCAAAACCGGAGAAACTGGGTAAAAGGGTCACGATTTCCCACTTTTACAAGTTCAAGGGTTTAAAGTCGTCAAAAAATAGATGAGGGGCTTAATTTTACTTAGACAAAGAGTTAAAGGGCCATTTGGATAATTTGCCCTTAAATAGACCGCAATTGATGAGGTTTTAAGCGTCTCATGCACGGCATTGCTCTTTCCATTTTCTGTGGCTAAATTTAGAAAAATATGTAGTACTAGGGGAGGAGTGCCCGCGCATCACGCGGGTGTTTGGTGCCTGTGATTGAAGAAAGTTTTTTGGTTAGGCAAATAATAATACATTGCGAGAATAGTACGTTGCGATAAATAATTAGAAGCAGGTATGATTATAAGACAAACAACATAAGAGTCTTCCAATATTAGAATCAGGAAGTTCCCGAAAACAAATAATTAGATGCAGCAAGTTCCCAAAGGGTGTACGGACAAATATTTATGATAAGTACAACAACATTAGTAATACCTTCACCAATTTACCATGAACTAATGCTTGGCCCATTATTGGCCAAAACAACCCCCCTCGCTATGACATCTGCAGATATATAAAATACAACCAAGTTCTAACAGGAATACCAACCATATAATGAATTCAAATTTAAAATGCAAGTCATGGAAAAACCGCCATCAAACTCTCAAAATTACCATATTAGAGTCATGTCTACAAACAAGAAGTACTGATAGGGTATAATTTGTTAGTAATTTTATTATTAATTTCCCCTTCTATCCCGGACAAATATTGTGTTAATTGCTGATATTTACTCATATTTGGTATCTGGACCCAATTCCAGGAGTGGAGCAGATAACTACAAAAAGAGGGACTTTTGGATGCAAATTTGGGAGACTCCAGCAGGAAGCCTCAATTGGCTGGGACCACAAGAGCTACAAGAGCTAGTAAAGGCAACGTACAAAGCCTTAGGAACAAGAAGTAATTCAGCAGCTTGTGGCCAATTGGTGGGGACCGCGCAGAGGCTCAAAACAAGGAGATGAATTCGGCAGCTTGTGGCCAATTGGTGGGGACCACTGGATATCTTTCTTTTGGCTTTAAATAGGGAACAAACGTACAGAAGACGGGTGGCTTTTATTTTGATCTCTAGTTTTAGTCTTTTAGGGTAGTTTTAGTTCTTCTTTCTTTTGACTGGCCTCTGACACACGCCAGGTGTTCGACAAAATTCCCCAACGGGAAAAACATCCTTTATTCCTTACTTGTTAGTAAAAAGAACAATGCCTTGGAAATTTATTAATTCGTGTGGTGATTTAATTATGCGGCGTGGCTAAGTCTTCCATCTAGTCAAGGGTCAACTCGACGGCGCAGTTCCGAAAATCTGTGAGATCTAATTAGTTTTCACGTGTTCCTTTATCTATTAATATTTGCATGTTGCCTGATTTAATTTTCATGGGATTATTTTATTAATTGGATGTACAGGGCCCGATGTTCAATGTGATATATTAATCTCGTGCCAATTTAATCAATTAAATCCGTAATTGTTTGATTGATTAATATTAGTGGCAACTGGTGTGTTTACACATTAGGGGAACGTGCGATCTAATTTAAATAACCCTCGTAGCGTGTTATTGATTAGGGTTAGGTTTTTCTAGTTATTAATGCAATTGGAAAATTAATTCCTATGGTCGTACCTAGGAGTATTTGCTGATTAGGGGTAATTAACGGTCGTACCTTGGTTATCAATAATTTAAGGAAAAATTGGTCGTCGGACTATAACTAGCCTATTAATAAATTAAGTGAACCTCTGCTGCATCAATGATCAGATAAATGGACTGTGCTTGAGTAGTTGTATCCTTGGCTAGAATTTATTTATTCCTGATTAAATTCCTGCTATATTTGTGCTAGTGATTTATTCATTTTTAATTAAATTGTCTGATTATTTTTAGTTTCATTCCGGTAAAATCCCCCCTTATCAATTGGACTTTAAAAAGAGACAAATATCTCCAGTCCCTGAGGAGACGACCCTACTTGCCACTGTCTACTATTTAGTAACTTTTGTCAATTAATTAATTCTGGTATATCGGATTAAGCAAACTCTTCGGGAACAGGGTGAATCAAGTAACCCATTGCACACCTAGAGTCCCTGCTCCAGTACCTAGGATTAATTATTGACTGCTCTTAGTGGTAGTTAGGTTCTATATTTATTATTATTATTACACAGGTTGACGACCTGTCAAGTACCATATTGGAGTCAGCTGACTCACAAATCCAATTAATATTGTACCAAGCAACATTTTGCGAACGAAAGTTTATAGTTACCTTGCCCTTCCTCTTTGTGTCCACTTCTGTATCCAAAAGCATAATATCCTCATAGTCGTCATCCATGTCAACATCTATTACTTCAGGAAAAATTACCTACAAAGAATCCATTCACCACCATTAAGACATTTACAACAATATTTAAATAAAATGAATGGAAACCACGGTTGTAAAAATTAAAATTTGCATTAGAAAGCAAAAAAAGCAAGAAAAGGTGCTAAAAATTACTACCAAAGACCAGATGAAATGAAGAGCAACTGTCACCGAACAGAAATCCAGTTAATATGCAATGAATACCACCCTTTCCTTAATAAATTTTCTTCCCTGAGCAGAAAAGAGGCTGAAAAGGAGCTACCAAACCACTTTGATGCAGAAAATGTTTGATCAGTGAAAAATGTCAAAGCAAATAGTTCCATTTCCGCTGCAACATGACTTGAGATAAAATAATTTCTTCATAGCAAACATAGAAAAAACCCTGAACTGCAAAAGTGGTGAACTAAGAACTTCACTGTCTAATAACTGATTAACTCTTGAACTACAAAGGAAAAAGGAAAACCTGAAGTTTATCAATTGTTAAACTTCAGCTGTTGAACCCCATAAATTCGATACTACCAAAAAGCAAAATAACCTAAAGAATGCAGAAGATGACCTTGCACCAACCACACCTTTCATGAACTCCTAATGGCAATCAAAATTATGAAAAAAGTTCCCAGAATCATGAATAAATTAGAGTTCAAACTCACAATCACTATACCCTCCAACATTGCTATGAGTCTGTGATCATACCTTTGAGGCACCATACGAGGCTTCGAAAATTGAAATGGGATTATGCTTATTCAAAGTTCTGCAAAAGTTTCCATTTTCCTAAATTCCTAAAACAATTATTCCCAAGTACCAAGCAGCAGAAATGCAACTTAAATTCGAAACAAAAATGGGCATCTTTACTCTTTCTTCACCAATTGAAAACCAAAAAAATGCAAATCACATTCGACAAATTAATTAAAACTCTTACACAGAAAAGAAAAAGGCCGAATACCAATCATGCTAGAATTTGCGATCAATCCAAAGTCTAAAAAGAACAGACAAATGATTGGTAATTTCAGAGTAGAGTTCATACACCAGTGGCTCATCTAGCTAACAGAAGTCGGACCTAAGCAATTGAATCCAAGAAGATGAAACGTCATAGCAGGTCACTGTAAAGGGAGGCGACGGGAAACTGAAGCTGAAAGGGGGTAACGGACCTACGTTCGTGGGGCATAAATGCAGATTAAAAGATGAGGAAGTGGGTTCCGACCAAACCATTAACAGCCATACCGGTTAGGCAACCATTGGAACGTTTCAGGTACCGGACGATTTTAATGACACCCCCTCCCACATAGAAGCAACGTTTACTTGTCCGTTTAGAGGAATAATTGGGCCTAAGGGGTATTTCGGTAATTACATCAACACACAAGCATATATGGGGTGTACAACAGGCAAAAATAGTTGCACACTCATTACATATTCCATCAATACTCAGATGGCTCATCAATGAGAACTTTAAATGTATTAAAATGGGGTCATTTCAGTAAACATATCCAAATACATGCTTTGTGAAGTTGCACCTAAAGCTGTTAGGCTAATACACAATATTTAACATTCCCAAAAAGCCCCCACCCATGCGGTTGAAATTCAACCTACTCTTAGACCAAAAACTCAATCTTATATAGTATAAGGATACTGTTCTATATAAGAAAGGACAAACACTGGACAAATAATTTTTGAGAGGTTGATAAATGAATGGATGCCAAATAGCCATTTGCAAGTTTAGATCCTTTTTAAGTGAAGAAAAAAAGAGCCATAAGTGGTCAATGCAGTCCAAGAAATAACTAGTGATCATATACAAGCACCTAAATAATTTTTTTTTTTAAAAAAAACCTTAATAAGAATGTTGCCATGTTTGTAGACATATAAACTTTCCTTTAGTTTTGTCTTAGCGATTCCCTGGGACGAAGAGGAGGAGATAATTGAAGGAAACATTGAGCTGAAATTTCGACTCAAATGTATTAGATTAGATTAGATCCAATTTATAGCTGTAACAGATAGATTAGCTGTTCTTTTTGTGGCAACATGCTTATGAATCTTGAATAATCTTTTTTCGGCCAATTTTTAGTTTCAACAAAATCGGTTTGGCAAGACTAGCAGTCATCCAGGAATACCACTTTTGACTCGTAACTCTTGGATAGAGTAGAGTGATACTGCAGATTCGATGCTGTTTGTTGACCATCTGGCCTTATGTCTTGGCAGCCAGGCACATTCCATGCTATCAAGTGTAAAGAAAGTCCATGCTTCAAGTTAAGGAAATTAGGCCTGACTTTAAAAGTCAATATTTAAGCAAAAAACCAGGGAAA